TCATTTTAAAAGGGATCTAGCATTATTCAAAGTTCAACCAAATCCTACACATACATAAGTCAACAGTTATAGAAATAAACCAGCTTATTCAAGTCTCAACATTATCCAAAAAATTTAACATAAATCCATGGTTCATCCAACACAAACATGATTTCAAGCTGAGGCATAAATAATCCAAAATGAAAGCAAGTAGTTCATCATATAATAAAAATAGGCGGAAGCAAAGACACATCAGTTAATGACCACCATCTCGCTCGTCCTATGCCACCGCCTCCAGCTCGTCTCAACCTAATACAAAGGAAGAGAGAAAACAACAAGAAAATAATGGGGGTGAGCATAACCAACAAGCTCACCATTATCGCACAGTGTATCTCGCATAACAATTTTAAACCATCATAACCATAGTATTCAGTATGCATAGAATCCAACAGTCTAACTCCCTACTTGGCCCTATCGCAAACCTCCTATGTACATACAACAACCTTCCAACCAAACATCGGCAAGGCCGTAACTGGAAAATTTCCCCCACCCCGAACTACTCACGGATCATGGGAGTCCACCCCGAACTACTCACGGATCATGGATGTTTTCCAGGAGATAGTGGAGATGTTTTTCCCCCCCGAAACTCACACGGATCAGGGCGTCGCCTCCCGGATACAACGGGCAGGTGACCTCACACTGTTATGCATTCATCAAAGGCACTATCGTTCGGGACACTTAGACTAGAGTTCTCATGCATACAAAAATTTTCAAAAGAAACATTACACGAAATAAGGAGTGCGATAAATATGGAATACATCATAAATGTACCCACCTGACAGCAGCACAGTTCACAGTCACAAATCTCGAAATAAGGCAAGGTCCACACCTCTAGACACCTATATGATGTCAAGATCCTACAATCAGAGTCTATCTCGACTTAAATCGGAAATCACAAGACAGACCTAGTCGAACTCGTTTCGACTAAGTAGTTCGTGAAGTCCTGTGGATGTTGGAACACTAAGACTCGGCTCTAAACTCGACCAACAACATAAGGGAGTTTACACAAACCCATCTAAGGATTGACCAAGTCAACTCACATAAAAAAACGAAAGGCAAGTTGATTCCCAAAATTTCATATAAAAATCATGTTCGGAAATAGAAATCATTTAATCGCATGAAAATAGATGGTCAAGCTACCCTACAAGTTAAGCTCTGAAAATTTACACAAAATTTCATCTCCCAGAAACATGTAAAACCACAAAGTTTCAGCTTTAAACTCGAAGTACCCTATTTTATAAAATTCGAACAAGATATCAGCAAAATGGGCACATTAATTCATACTCAAACTTAATGAATGAATCTGAACTTGAAAATTTTACTCGGCAACATACAGTATGCTAAAGTTCATGTATAAAAATCTCAGCCTTAAGTGATAATTGCTGCTATTTTTAAAAATTCATACGAGCAACAGCAGTTTATCGAATTTAAATCCAAACTGAATTAAAACGGACTCCAAAAATTCTCATCGTTTACAAACATGATCAAACAAATAAAATAGGTTTCTCAGTAAAATTTCAGAATTTTCCAAGAAGTAACCAATTTATAAAAATTCAAACAACGTTTCTGCAGATTCGATAAAAAAAATATTTACCACAACAAATCAACTCCAAAAATTCTAAAAATTTAACACAACACATATACGTCACAGAGGCATCACATATTCTAATTTCAGCTCATTCCATTCAAGCATGAATTTTCTATGCATTTAACATTATTCTGATCAGATTACACTTTAATTATTAAAAATAGCTACAGGTCTCCAAAAATTACGAACATTTTACACAAGGCAGGCTATGAACAGATAACACATCCCTCCAAATTTCACATCGTTTCGAGCAGCGAGCTATTTTTAAAAATTCAAACACCGAAACAGCGATTAAAAAGCTCGACAACTTAGCAATTAATTCACACCATAAAATTTCTCGTCCGAGCCCTTTTCATAAGACCAAGGACTCGACATTGTTCCAATATCCACCGACTTACACGACTTTCGAGGTCTCGTTCGATTCTTGAGAAAATCGAAGAGATCCCGATCATACAATAACACATAAAATCACGACGATACAACCACGAGCAACCATAATTATATAACATCATAACACGTATATTAAATTAACGAACACACTAGGCACAAATCATAATATTATTCACGTAATATTAAACAGGGAGTCGAGACTCGATACCGAGCGAGTAGGGTTCGAACGGCTCGACGGCAAACGGTGGCGAAAGAGCTCGACGGAGGCTCGCGTCTCGCCGGAAGGAGGAGGTGCTGCAGCGGCTGAGAAGGGAAGGGTCGCTGCTGCTGCTAGGTCGCCGGACGTTGCTGCAAGGTCGCCGGTGGAGAAGCTGCTCGCCGGAGCCCAACGGAGTCGGTCGTCGGAAGTTGCAGAGTTTCGCCGGAAGGGATTGACACGGTGGAGGAGCAGTTCGTCGGTGGAGGACGGCTCACGAGCAGGGAGGAGGACCTCTGGTCGCGGCGCGACGTGGCTCACGGCGTGGCAGATCCTTGGTTCACGGCGCGGCAGGGGTCTTTGTCGCGGAGCGGAGGAAGCAGGTCGACGGAGCAGATCGCGGGCAGAGAAGGTCTCCAACGTCAGAAATTCGTGGACTGGCTCGTGGAGGGGCCTGACTTGCCGGAATTGCAAGCAGAGGGGTCGCCGGAGGAGCTTCTGTGCGTGACGAAAATCTCAGAGGAGGACTCGCCGGAATTTCGTGGTCGCGGACAGGGAATAGGGCGATGAGGAGGATGAGGGTGATCGGCGATAGGATTTTTCTTTTCCTTGCGCTGCGTGAACAAGATGCGAGAGAGGGGGAGAGGGAGATTGACGACGATTGCGATCGATTTGCAAGAGAGAATGAGATGAGCGGAAAATTAAGTCTTAGGGTTTAATTAATCTTGTAAGACAAGACAACACACGCACGTGCACAAGGGGTCCAAAACGAGTGTGGGCCTGTTTGGTTTATTGGGCTCGCAGGTCTAAAGTGTAATGGGCCGAATGTTTAACTCGCTTGGGCCGATTTAATACTTTCAAATGGACCGAATTTAATAATCAAAGGGTCGGTTCACGAGTTCGGTTCGCGACAATTTAAATCGGCTCACGGGCCGGTTTGCAAAAGTAAATCGGCTCACGGCCCGATTACAATTCAAACGGATATTCTCGGGCTCAATTTCGGTTCCAACGAAAATTTTTCGGGCTCGATAACGAATTCAACGCGCGATTAATAAATTCGGGTCTCGGGCCCGATTCAATCACACGAAAATAAATTCAGCTCTCGGGCTCGGGTTCTCCGATTACTAATTTCGACAGCTCAAATCGATTGCACGGCAAATAAACAAAACTGCGGACAATATAAATTAAATACGTATATTATTTTAAAATACTAATATTATAAATCAAAATATACAATTAGCAATTAATTGACAATTAGACATATAATATCTAGGCATTCAATTTGGCAAGCAATAATTAATAATATTACAATAATAATAAACATCCATAATAATAATAATAATAATAATAATAATACTTCAAATAAACCACAAATAAATGGGGCATTACAGAGAGGCTGCGCAACAGCTATGAGGGAGAGTGGAGAATGAATGAGAGTTAGAGTTTAGGTTTACCTCACCTCCTTTATATTGGAGGAGATACTTACTTGAAGTCCCCAAAATACCCCTACCGTCTTACGTAAAGGGTCCAAAATGCCCCGGTCAGTTCGCCTCCTTTTGCTGCTGAGTCATCACAAGATTCCCCTTTATCCCTTGAAGAATGTATAATTTTAAGTATGCTGCAAGTGTGATGAGTCGTCATCACGTCTTTGGTCTTCGAGGTATAAAGAGTCGACCTCGAGAGCTAGGAGGTCGACTCATGATCGTATGAGGATTCGGAGGCTACGCTTGGTTAGTTCTCTCGAATGGGAGTCGACTTTAGAGAATCGACTTAGTGAAGTCGACTTCTGGGAGTTGACTTAAGGCTATCTGAATGCTTGGAGGCTACGCTCTCGCTGTTCTTCTTAGATAGATGTCGGCTATTGGAAGTCGACAAACTGAGGTCGACCTCTAAAAGTCGACTGGCATGGTTTCCGCCTTCTCTTCGCGGTCGTTCTATGAAGGGTCGACTTTGCGGAAGTCGATTTGAATATATCGATGGGAACATATCGTCATGTGGACGATCTGAGTTGCTATTTGGTCGAGTAGAGAGTTCTAGAGCCGATATATGATAATATGGCTATATCAGTTTAGCTTCACGAAAAATATGGAAAGATTTTGGTAGGATATTAACCAATAAATTTTGACGATAAATATGGATTGATTTTGTTAAGATAGTAAAGCGCGTGAATAGAGATAATTAATTCCACAATTTTGCTATGTGAACAGATTTCAATTGCGTGAATATCTGTTAATTTGGAAAAGCGTGAAGAAAAAATCCTAATTTAATTCAACTGTTAATTCCGTTATAGCCAAAAGAAAAATCCAGAATTATAAAGATATTCTCCAATTAGTAAGTCAAAGTTTTGACTCAATTATTTTAGCTTTCCAAAAATGAATTTAACATCAAACTTTTTCAATATATATAGATTACGATTTACATATCACTTTATGCACTTTTTATTCCTTTTGTTTTTTCATTAGTTAGTCCATCAAATTAGTAAAATTTTTAATCTAGTAATACCTTTTATAATATATTTTTTAAATTTTTTAACTCAACACCCATGTAGTAGATATGGCCAAAATCCGGGCTGGGTCAGGGTCCGGCCCGGCCCGGCCCGGCCCGCCGGGTCGTCGGGCTCGAAAACACTGATCCTGAACCGACACGGACCTATACTCGTGCGCGGGTCCGTGTCCGGGTCGGGTCGGATCGGGCGGCCTTTTGGCCATGTCTATATGGGTCATGTAGTACACGGGTATTTTACTAGCAGTGTCGAAAACAAAAAACNAGAACATTGAATTGCCAGATGTAGCGTTTCCCAACGATATATTTCTTCAGCTCTCGTCATACTCTTCATACGTCATTTAGGCACCGTCGCCAAAATTTAATATCCGGTACGGCTGTACAATACCACATTTTCTTACAGGCTACAGCTCCCATGGATTCCTCTTTTCATCGTTTTTCGTCACTAAAAATGATTTCCACTTTGAACAGGCCTCCTTCACAACCTATAACTCTAAATTCCTACAATTACAGCACAAGGTGCTCCAGTTTTTCATTTTCGAGGCCCTCAATTGCTGAAGCAAACTCCGCCTTTTCGTATAAAAAATTTATCAAGTTCGCTCTGGAAGAAACTGGAAAACACACGCAGTTGGTTTCTTGTCCCTTACAGGTGCGAGCCTATTGTCTAAACAATTCAAGAAACTAAAAAAAAAAAGAAAAAAAACAGCTGTGCTAATTTTGAAGCAAGTGTTATTCTTTCAAATACCTTAATTTCAAGCGATTGAGCTTACGAGAGTTTAGTTGTTTTGTTGTTCTGAATTTTTGAAGAAATTGCAGGTTTTAGCTTCTAAGCTTTGCATTTTGAACTGGGGTAGTGATCTACAGATGTGCAATTAATATACTTATTTTGTTATAATTATTGTTCTTTTTCATGAGTTGGGGGCTATGGGAGAAGATCCATAAGTAAAATATTAAATATTCGAAATTCTCAAGTGGGTTTAAAGATTCATACTCTCTCTCTCTCTCTCTCTCTCTCTCTCTCTCTCTTTTAATTTGAAATAGTCTAGCCCATGAGTTTGGTATGCATTTGCATATTGTGCTGTTTCTAGTAGAGTACTTGATAAAGCTTGTGTATGTTTTGAAAAAATAAATTCAAGGAACTTTTTTTTATTGATTTTCGAAAATCCTACCTGTACAAAATTGTACTGTTTTATTTCTATGTGCAGTGCTGTGTAATGTGAAAATGATGTTTGGGATTGTAAATATGGTGCACTAATTATATGCAGGAGGACTTCAGTTGCTTGACTGCCATGGATGGGAAAACAGAGCTCCACATGCACTCTTTTCAATCGCCTAAGATCAGACTGTTGAGGAGTTTATCCATAGAAGGAAGTGATGGGATGCAGGTTTGTTCATATACCTGTTTGCATAAATAAATGCCTGTCTATTATCATAAATCATTCTTATGCATAACTTGCAGGTCCTCGATTTTGCCATCTTCCCGAGAATGGAATTTAGTCTTCCAATTTTTTGTGCCAACTTTTTCACCACGGCAGTCATGAATATAATTGTGTTGTAAGCTACCTTTTTTCCCATCTACTTACCAAAATAAGTTTTATCCTTATGAAAATGATAATATGTTCAGTTGATTTCTCCACCAAAGTTTGGGTCTATCTTTTCTTCTTGAGTCTAATTTTTCTTCTTTTCGTTCTTTCCTGTTCATCACTTTGTTTCAGTTTGAGGAAATTTGTCTAATCATGTCCCCCAACTAATGTAAGAGAAATCATGAACTATTTTTTATTCCAAGAATCAGGAATTTCAGTACTATGATCAGAACTTTTTAGAGATCGATTGTTCTTTTATACTTCAGTAATTGGGCTCTTGGGCTCTTGATCCCATTTGCTTATAATATCCATTAGGAATAGGGCTAGGACTCAGCTTTTGATACCTAGGACATATTTTTGTTGAATAGGATTGTCGGCTTTAAGCTTGGATAGGAAGTTTCTTCCCTAAGTGTCGACCAGGCTGGGGGGATACGTCCAAGTTTTTTCTTGATTAATAATATTGATTATCTATATTTTCGTCTGCTTTCACCCTTGACGCTATCAGAACTGAAAATGCATTAATGTCTAACACACAAAATTTGGAAATTACGAATTTATTTATGTAAATGAACCTTATTGGATAAGGACTTGCATTGTAGATGATCTTGAGTCTCTATAGTATACATAACCTTGTATGATATCTTATCATGTCTTGAGGTCCTTAGTGTTTCTTTATTGTTGATTTAATGTTCCTAACTAAAAATGCAACTCGGCAGTGGTACTAATTTTGTCATTGGTTTTTTTTTTTCCGTCAACATCAAGTGCTCTGCATCTGCTCTTTGAACCAAAGGATTCATAGACATTGTAGGACATTATCTTGAATCATGTTATTGTTAATCTAGCTTTATTCACGTTCTGTTTCTGTGCTTTAGAAGAATTTAATGTCATTAGGGACCTCAACCCATTGCACGATGTCATCAATCAACGAGAGTACAAGGAAAAGTACTATAGGCACTTAATTTCTCTTGGACTCAAATATGCTGAGGTGACATTGCCTTGCAATTTTTGCAACTTATAATTAGTCCTGCTATGCCATCTAAATTGAGATGTGGTGATTTAACACAGTATTCATGCAGGTTTTGCCCTGGGGAGGAAAGATTACAGCCGAGTCCTTGAAATTTTTCTCACCAATTGTGATATGGACCAAGTTTCCTCCCAGTCAGGACAAGCAACACATATTATATTCTGCTTTCAAGGATTATCTCAAGGTACAAATAGATCTAGTTAATAGTTATGTGCTGACAGAATAGTTGCAAATATGACTAGAATCATATGCCGAAAATGCATGTTTCTAGGTGGGTGTTTTCGTTTGCACAGTTGAGAATGGGTCGAGTTCGGCTGTTCCTGGGAATTGTTGTTAGATTACGTCAGGTCGTAAATTGAAAATATAAAAATATACGCTGAAAAACACAATATTTTTTTTTTTCAAATTGTTTTCATTTAAGTTATCATTACATGTAAGACAAAAACTGTGAAATAAACCGCTTGAGACTAATTTGGTATATTGATTAGGCAAACAAGTTATATCTTTTCCTTAAATTTTTAATATGAAATGATATAATAAATTTTTTTATTTAGAACTAATAATAAAAGATAAAATAAATGGTTATGGATTGGTCTAAAATTAAAATGTGCATATTAGGTCTGATTTATATCATTAAGCCCCCTTACGTGGGATGGTTTGGACCTTATTTCCGTCCCTATTCAGATGCATTTGGTTTATATACTGTATTATTCTTATACAAGAATTTAATCCCATTTGGGGTACAAGCTTAGAAGGCCTTGATTTTGTTACGTCCACAGTCATGGCTTGAGTTGATGGAGGCGGCATTGCCAGAAACTGATGTTTCTCAGACCACGTTGAATATTGAGTTACAACATAGGTATCTTACGTGGAGAGCAGAAAAGGTAGGTAGTTAATAACAAACACCTTTTCATCATTAAGCTCAAATTAAAGTCACATGTTGGTTATGTGTAAACTATTGTTTGTTGACAAGCTTCATCAACTCATGCTTCAAAATTAGCATCCTCTTTCAAAAAAGGAAAAAAAAAAAAGGAAAAATGGCCATAATCTTAGACTAATTTCTGTTTGGTCAAAATTCTGAAAATCAGGATCCAGGCCACCAAGTCCTGAGAAGGTTAATTGGCTTGACTCGTGCCAAGGTACATCTGGTTGTTATGTTGTGCATCGAATTTTATTATTACAATCATTTTTTATTATTATGTTTAAGTGCACCGTAGGATATAATTCAGAATTTTCTCTTCAACGGGGTTGACGAGCTTGGGAGCAAAACATTCACCGATTACTTTCCTGAGTACAAGTGTGATGACGGGACTGTAAATAAAAACCGCAGTATGATTGGAAAATCATTTGAAAGTCGGCCATGGGATACGAAAGGAGAATTCATTGGCAACAGTTTAAGTTAGAACATGAAGACCTTTGTAGGCTAGGCTTACTTGAGAATTCTCTTGTGCTCCTTTTTTCCAGTGTGAAAACCTTTGTAGGCTTACTTGTAAGTTGTAACTTTGTCCTACCATATTATTGTTGTTACTCTTGTAGCTGGCAATGGCTATGCCAGGAATTTTGTATTATCAATTACAACATGAAACATTTCAACAACTCTTCACAATCTTGTTTACGTTATCTTCCACAAACTTAATCTCTTGGTTGGTTATATTTGTTACCATTGTTTTGAAAACCAAACTAAATTGGCGAGTCGGATAGGGAATCGGTCAACTAGCTGGTTTGGTTCGCTGAAACGAATTGGTTGTTTTAGATAACCAGTTTTCTTTCATTACAAGTACATTGATTCACTTTTTTTTTTTCATGTGTTATAAACTGCTTGCAACTTATGATTGAAGAGAACAGAATTAGAAACATTTCGGGCTATACCATATACAAAATTCTATGCCATTTCTCTTTCGGGAAATTTACACACATGCTAAGCTATAAGGGAAATAATTGCATATTTACGGCTGTAAACAATTATTTGCATCTACACCAGATTGATGCTAAATAATTATATGTATGCCTAATCTCTTTGCACCAAAAAAAACCCCCACAACCTAAAATTTCGGATGTCATTTGTAATTAAATAACACCATTAATATATCAATCCGTCATATATATGGAATGAGAATATATCCAACACATAACCTAGAATATTTTTTATGATGTAGTGGTCCCATATAGCTAGAACACATGGAATGAGAATATATTCAACACATAACCTGGAATATTTTTTATGATGTAGTGGTCCCATATAGTTAGAACACACACGACCTTTTTGTTATGCACAATATAATCACGTGTATTACACAGTATATAATACGTATATACAATGTTTATAATCTATTGGTACAGAACACACACGACCTTTCTGTTTGTTATGCATACGATTTTTACCCATACATGAATAATTTTATTTTTTGTCACTGAATTCGCCCTTGTATGTTTAGTTTATAAAACAACTTATTGGGTTTTCTTAACTTGCATATGTCTGTACAATTACAAAAATATACCGTTTGTGTATGTTGGGTATATACAGTCCCATGTTTTTTTACATATATTTCAACCTTATATGCATAACAGTATATAATATGTTTATGTTGGGTATATACAGTCCCATGTATCTTTACATGTATTTCAACCTTATATGTATATAATGGTACATAATATGTTTATGTTCAGTATATAATATGTTACTGATGCTCAAACATGATTGATGATAAAGATTTACAGGTCCTATGCCTTTTATCCTACATTACAACATTATGTGCATAATGGTATATAACCAGCTTATGCTGAGTATATATTATGTGACTAATGACACAATTCTATTTGTAACAGGAATGGGTCATATATTCTTCAACTTCGTCACTGTCGTCTACGCTCATACCTTCATCACTGCTCGTCAATGTCGTCTATGCTCATATCTTCTTCAACTTCGTCACTCCTGGTTGGATTGTTGTCTTCAACGAGAAAATCAGGGTCCTCGGTGGCGTCTTCTTCGGACAATTTGGGGTTCTTTAATTTTGGTCGACTCTGAGTCTTATTTTGTTGGGCTTCGTCTTGATCGGACTGAAAATCGTCAATTTCACGGTGAATTTTACTCGTATTCTTGTCGTAACCACCTGGCTTCAATTTCTTCTCGAAAGTTAATTTTTTTTAACAATAATTCCAATGTTGTTCGCTTGGTGATGTCGGAGGCGTGAACTCGACCATACTTGTGGAGTTTCGCCAGCACCATTCGATGAGTTTAGCCCAACCTCCGACAGGATTTTAAATTTCGCAATTTACTTGGTTCTTGGGGCTTGCCGAAAAATTTTAAAAGCAATATGAAACAAGAATTGGTGGTTTGGGACGGTGGGTGATAAATTATAAGCGTGTTTTGGAGTTATTGCCACCTTGATTCGTGCGATTCAGTTTTTGTTTAATTCATAATAACTTTCTTAAAAAAAATGTTGTTACCAAATTTAACGTGAAATTAATTTGTAGATTTTTGTTGGTATGTTTGAAAAAAAAAATATACTCCTTCTTATTTTTAATAAATGTCGTTTTGAGAAGTTGCACAAGAATTAAGAATTTTTTTTTGCCAATAATAACACTCATTAATAAGGATAGAGATGGATGTTTTGAAAGAAGATGGAGAGTGAATATGAAAAAATGTAATGTATTTATTAGTTAGATGACGGTAATAATGGAAAAATATGTACAAAATAACCGAAACGACATTTATTTGACAAATGATCAATTAAGATAGAATGACAAATAATAAAAATAGGAGAGAGTATATTTTTCGTTCCTTTGCAAATAAATATACATCATTTGTATTAATGTAATAAAATTGGTAATTTAAAGTGCACTAGTTAATTTCCTCTTTCGGGATCATAGATGATGACTGGATGGATGTTCTGCCAACAAATTAACATGTTTGTTCAAAGTTAAATAAAAACTTAAAATGTTTCTCAATAAACTAGTGCGTATCCCGTGCGATGCACGGGTAAACAATATTAGTTAATGATTATATATTAAAGATGAAGTTAAATAATATTAACTAATAATTATAAATTAAAGATGTGAACTTCATACGTAATATAATTTATCGTATATGAGTTGTAAACAATATATAATTATCTTGTATAAAAGAATTTAAAAAAAATGATTGTTTAAAGTATTAAAAACGTCTAAATATTATATAACATATGTAAAAGTATCTAAAATTTTAAATATCATTATTGAAAGATGTGGAGTCATCTAAAATTTTTTTAAACTATTTTGTAAAAAAAACATGCCTAAAACTATTTATATTTAACATATATATGTATATGTATATGTGTATGTGGACATGTATAATGTGTACAAAATTGTCTAAACAATATGTTTAAAATTATATAAAATATTATGAGTCTAATAAGAGATATTGTCTCGCGAAACGAAGTAAAAAAAAAAACAGCAAAGCAAGGCATTGAGATGATATCGATAATTAAAACATAACTTCCATGTAAGTTATAACAAATAAAATAGAATTTTATATCTAAAATTACCATGCTTTATAACTCTTATTCTCTTTTTATGTAATACAAAATCTTATATCACATATCTAAAAAGTATTCAAAATATTTTACATTATTTTTGAAATATGTGTGAAGTCACTTAAAATTTTTTTAAACTATTTTGTAAGGAAAACAATTTCTTAATCTAGAGAATATGTAAAAATTTGTCTAAATATTTTTAAAACATTAAGAATACCTAAACTATTATATAAAGTGTGTAAAAGTATCTAAAATATTATATATTATTCTTGAAAAATATGAAATTATCTCATTTTTTTCTAAACTATTTTATAAAAAAAGTATCTAAAATCACTTAAAGTTAACATTTCTTTCTCTATATATATACACTTTAACGAATGTGTAAAAAAAATTACTCAAACATGTTTAAATTATATATAATATTATATATAAAAATATATTTAGAGTTATATCCCCTGTTATATATTATAGTCTAAATAACCGTTGGTCTAACAAACATTAAATATTTTAAGCAAAAATATTAGTAATTACAAATACCATAAAAAAATAATTAGACAATACAACATGCGCTAATTTTCTTATATAGTAGATATCCTAAAAAAATTTTATTAGAGGATTTATATTTTGGAGAATTGCTTTTTTATATAGTAGATACCCTACAAAAATTTATTACACAATAACTCGGACTTATATTTTGGAGAATTGATTGAGCAAGGTATTCGTGATTTTAAATAAAATCCGGATAGAGTTTTGGAGAGGCCAATTTTTTTAAGTGCTGACATTTAATTTATAAGATTCTTTAATTTGTGAAGGATTGAAAATCAAAATTCGTGGTATTATTATTTCTTAATATAAAATAAGTGTTATAAGTGTTATATTATTTCTCCAAAAGTCCCTGAAGCTGTGGAGCAGACAGAGAAACGGTTGAACACATGTTATTTAACTGCCCTCGAGCCAGCAGATTATGGACTCTTGCACCAGTTTCATGGGATGGAATGGATCAACCTGTTCAAATTTCAAATACTGGTGGCAGCAGGTCTGTGCCATTGAGAAGTCTGAAACTTCAAGCCACAGAATCCAATTAACCACCTACTTGCTATGGTGGTTATGGAAAACGCGTAACTTAGGGATATTTCAGGCACATCAGGTTCCAGTTCACTTGATGCTGAGGTTGGCTCATTCAGAGAGGCTGGAGTTTATTTCTATTCACTAGTTTAGTTTGCTTCTGTATTTCTCTAGTTTGCTTTTGCTTTTTGTATTAGTGATCTTTGTCCTGTGCCTAGTTGTTTTGCTGGTTTTTTCCTTGGTTAAAAATGCTATGCTAGGCCTTATGGCAGTGGCTAGGCTTTTTAACTAGTTCTAGTTTCGGTGAGTTGGTTAGTTCGTATTTCTAAGCCATCTTGTTGATGTGCTTCCCATTTTTAGTTTCAGGATTTGATTGGGGATCCCATCATTGTATTAGAACATTGTTCTCGTTTGAGTTATATAGTTATTCCTACCGTTTTGAAAAAAAAAAAAATNTTAATAGGATAAGATTTCTTAATGGGATAAGATTTTCTAACGCAAAATTAGTGCATTGGTCAATTACAAACTAACAACATACCAAAAATCTTGGAAAACATTAATTGCACAGGGAAGCTTTAAAAAAAATATTTATTACCATTAATGGCAAGTAATTAATGCAAAACATGTTGACTAAGAATTTGACTTACCATTTTTAAAAAATGGTTATTCTTTTTATATAATGATAGATATAATGATAGATTAACATGTTTATTCTATCAATCCGAGATGTTGACCAGATGGATGTTCCATTGCATATATATAATGATCTTTCAAAATAATCGGATTACAAAGATTCTCCAACTCCTTCAATTTATCCTAAAAAATCCTCGACTTAGCCAATTGATTTGAATAATCACTCTATCGTCTCATCCCCAATCTTTTCGATCGTTTACTTGCCCGATCTTCTCATCCACAATCTTCTCCATCGTCTACTTGCCCGAACCCAATTTAGAACCAATCTTCTCGTCCTTCATAGTATTCCTCCTGTTATAATATTTTATTTATTTATTACCTTTTCATGGTAACCAAGTTTTATTACCAAATAAAAAATGGTGGAAACAAATTAAT